GGTCATGGCGAACCGGACGGTGAAGGATGCGCACAGCATCCATGGCACTAACCCGCAGTACCTGGTGGAGAAGATCATCCGCACCCGCATCTACGAGTCCAAGTACTGGAAGGAGGAGTGCTTCGGCCTGACGGGTATGGCGGGGGGGGGGGGGGGGGGGGCGGGGGCACGGCTGGGAACCCGCGCTGACGGCCCGTCCTTCTCGTAGCTGAGCTGGTGGTGGACAAGGCCATGGAGCTGAAGTACGTGGGGGGCGTCTATGGAGGGAACATCAAGCCTACGCCCTTCTTGTGCTTGACGCTGAAGATGCTGCAGATCCAGCCCGAAAAGGACATCATTGTGGAGTTCATTAAAAACGAAGACTTCAAGTAAGTTGGGAGTACGTTTGCTTGTTTTTTCCTTCGTTTGGTTGTCATACTGAATGAAAGGTGGATGTTCAAAGCAGCCAGGGAACCCTCAGTGCAGAGTTTAGCTTTTAGTGGGCCCTGATAAACGCTTCTTGCTAGAAAGCACATCCGTCCGCTTGCTTTCAAACGAGTGATCTCCTTGTCACTGGGGCTCTTGGAACTGCTTGCCTGTGTGGCCTGTGCTCTTTGGGATAATACATCTCCGTCTCAAGTATTTAGAATGAGGTTTGTTCAGGGAGGCATGTTAATCTGCTTTTTCTTTAGTATTTCTTTTGTCTCTGTGAGTGATAATGCAGTCTTGCATGCATGAACAACCCATATAGAGATTATATATGTATACTTAAGTATATGTATGCCTGAGTACTTGAAGGAGAAAGTCCAAGTGGTTGGTTATTCTATTTATTTTAGTGTACTGATTTTCCTCAGAAAGTTACAGGAAAAACTCTTTATCTAAACTACTAACTATGGAAAAAGCTCAGATACATGAAATGGTTTACTTTTTAGGTATGTCCGAATGCTCGGTGCGCTGTACATGAGATTGACAGGTACCGCCATTGACTGCTACAAGTATCTTGAACCGCTGTACAATGACTATCGAAAAATAAAAAGTCAGAACAGAAATGGGGGTAAGCACTCTTACATGTAGTTGTGGTTTCTTAGTACCTCATAGATAGTGCCAGATAAAAGTAAACATTCTATTTAGTAATATCAACTTAAAAATTGTGGCATAATCATCTTTTTGAAACCTTATTTTTACTTATTCATTCTTTGGATAGTCTGTTGCTAACTTGTACAAATGAGAACTGTGCCAAGTGCTTGTGTCTTCTGTTGGGCACTGGAACACAGTTCCACAAATCCCAAAGAAACTTTTGAGTGCTGATTTAAGCACTGAATCTACTAATCCTAGCTGTGCAGTAGCAAGTAGGCCTAATGATTTTCCTCATCTTTGAGAATGATTTTAGAACTGTCATTTGTCCAGCTCACTTGACATAAATTGTCTGAAGCGTTTCATCTGTAGCCACTAGTGTTAAGCTTGTCTTTTAAATGCTATTTTTCCACCCCCCCCCCAGAATTTGAACTGATGCATGTGGACGAATTTATTGATGAGCTACTCCACGAGGAACGCGTATGCGATATCATTCTGCCTCGATTACAGGTTTGGAAAAGTAGATGGTTACGGAATTCTTAACTGCACCAGAGTCCATAGTTGTATTGGCTACTGGCTTGTTGTGTAAAGCTGTGATACAGGCCCTTTGGGCACATGAGATGCCTCCGTAGGTGGCTGTTCTTACTTGGGTTACGTAAGATAAAGTTATAATTTCTCTTAGAAACGCTATGTTCTGGAAGAAGCTGAGCAACTCGAGCCTCGTGTTAGTGCTTTGGAAGAAGACATGGATGATGTAGAATCTAGTGAGGAGGAGGAAGAGGAAGATGAAAAGGTTGGTGAAGTGTTTTGCAAAGGGATGGTTAAAGCTGGTGCTGAGCCACTACAGAGCACTTCATGGCCTATAAGAAATATATGGGGGGAGACACCAGCAGGCTGTTTGCAACTCTTACCTCCCCCCTTAATGTATTTCCATAGAAGCTGCTGGTAAGAACTTGTTAGCAGCTCCAAGTGTTCTGCATGTGTCAAGCTTTTCTGTCTCCTGAAATCACAAATCTGGATCTGTTCTGTGTTAAACTATTTCAGATAAATTGTTTTACATGTATAACGGAGAAAACTAAAGGTGATGATGACTGTCCTAGTCAATTCTGCTGTACTTCTCAAGAATAGACAGTATGAGAGGTGACCATTTTGATTTCAGTTGGCAAACTTAGTACCACTCATTTCTGAATATGAAATACTTGAGGATGGGGAAGCTGGATTGCATGAATTTTGTCATTTATATTTAATTGTTCAGAAATCCTTACTGATAGATAAAAACCTTTATGAAACAAGACTTACAGAACCTTCCTCCTGCCATTTCCAGCTGGAACGAGCACCCTCTCCTGACCACCGCAGAAGAGGCTACAGAGACCTTGACAAACCTCGCAGATCTCCAGCTGTGCGGTACAGGCGGAGCCGAAGCAGGTCTCCAAGAAGGTGACATGGCTCTTCTTGAGCAGTACTTCTACCAATTGTACTGCAGACAGCTTGGGCAAAGCATAGAAGGGAAGATGACAGTTCAGCCAGAATCTCTTACATCTCTCAATTCCTTTAGCTGCTTTCTGAAGTCAGGAGCCACAGTCAACCCAGTCCTCCAGTAACTCTTGAACTTCCTGGCCAGTAATGTAGTTAAATTGGACAATACTGTGAAGATATTAAGGAGAACCAAGTGCTTTGTTTTCACGTAAGCCAGAGGCTGCAGGGAAATCCTGTTAATTGTTCTAATAATAAGCCAGGAAAAACTCATCGCTTGCCTCCTTTGCCCACTGTATGGGCCAGTCCAGAAGCACGTACTGCATCTTGTGCAGGATGCCAAACACATGCTAACTGTGGACGCGGGGGAGTGCAAGGGAAGCCCTGGTGCTGTTGCTAGAGAATATGGGAAATTAAACAGCTGATTCTGCTAATGATTTTTAGCAACTCTTTCTTTTCTCCCCCAATTACAGGCGAAGCCGCTCTCCAAAGAGAAGGAGGTATTATATTATTTTTTTAATTATAATCTTTTATTATCTAATCTTAGAATGCGTGCATTTTTAGTCTGGCTGTCTTAAAAATTTCCTTTCTCTTAGTCCATCACCACGCCGGGAGAGGCATCGCAGCAAAAGCCCAAGACGACACCGGAGCAGATCCAGGGAGAGACGCCACAGATCGAGATCCAAATCTCCAGGTATTTTTGTTATTTACAGATTAACTCTGGCAAGTCTTTATCAACAGAACATCTGCTGCAAGAAAAATCTGTGTCACAGTATCAAGAAGGTAGCATAGGTGCTTAATCTGGCTCATAAAACTGGTAGCTATATGAAAGCACAGCTGTAGAACTCCTTTAATACATGCAAAATTGCCTTGAGTATGTTTTTCAAGTACTGGAGTGCCTAATTAAGGCTAGGGTTGTTCTGGAATTATCTAGGACACTTGGTCACTACGAGGAGGTTGTATTAGCAAAACAAAAAAGAATTCCAGGTGGAAGTAACTGTTACTTTTTTATCTCATAGGGCATCATCGTAGTCACAGACACAGAAGTCATTCCAAATCACCTGAAAGGTAAAGGCTTGACCTGTTTCTTAAGGGTGTCTGTACTGCTGCTGTAAGAGCTCCTACTTTCATTTAGTTTTGGGGACTGAAGGTCGTCTTACAATGTTGGAGATTAAATACTTCATCTGGTGCCTCCCTCAGTGCTGTAGTCAATTCACACTATCCATATTTGACCATAGAAAACACCACTTAACCAGTCTTTTAGTTACTTTTTTACAACAATTACTACTACTGTGTCATAGGGGTTTTGTTTGTTCGTTTCAGATCTAAGAAAAGTCACAAGAAGAGTCGCCGAGGGAATGAATAACAAACTAAATCCAGCACACAGTTTAAGGACCTTGAACTGCAGTCTAATACTGTCCTATTTGCTTTACGGGACAGCTGGATATGTACTGGCTGCTTTAGCAGTCCATTTCTTTAATCCTTCTCCTCTTGTACAAGTCTTGTTTGTTTTTTAATTAAAAGAAAGCTAAGGATACTTTTTATGTAGTTAGAATTTGAGGATTGTTTTTAAATTGTCAAGGATTGTTTAAAAACTGTCAATTTATACATTAACAAGGCCTGTATAAACTAGTGAAGAGCAATAAAAAAAAGGGGGGGTTGTCTTTAAGGGCTTCTTGCTGTTTCTCTCATAATACTTTCTTTAGCTTTCTAGTTGAAGGTGGTTTCATTCTTAAATCAGGGTGTTGTTTTGACCAACAGCCACTGTGCTCAGTTGCCAAAGTGAGAATACATTCCAATTATAAACAGTGATGAGCTAACAGCCTAAAACTATCTCAAACCTCCAGTACAGGAAGGGAAGTAACACTCTCATAATCCCCTGTGTTCACTAAAAGCAAGAGCGAACTAAAACCAACTGTTACTGGTTCCTTTGTAAGAATCAGCCTTAAGTCAATGATATGCTGCTTCTGATGCTACTATCAGATAGTTTAAGAAGCTTCAGGTAATACAAAGCACCACTTAATTCTTTTCAGGCAAGAAATTATTCAGTGTATTTAAATACAGTAAAACCACTACTTTGAGCATAGTTTGTGGCCTGCCTGTGACTGGGGATAGAATGTGACACAATTATGCTCAGCTCTACCTTCTCTGAATGAAGTTAGCACTTGGCCAGTCCCTGTTTTTCAAATTAAGAATATTTAAGAATCTTGTCTTAGTACAGTTAATTATCTATCACAGGAAATCAGTTGTGTTAAACCCCTTGTGTACCATCCGTTTATTCATAGTCTTGCTTCAGGAGCAGGGACTGACAGGTTTATCTTGTGAACAATGTATTTATGGCTTAAATATTTTCACATATTGTCCAATGAATGTTGACAAGACAAAAAGTATTGCCCAAATTTATGGGAGGTCCTCTTCAAAATTACCTCATAGTACAGCCTTATTTTTCTAGAGTATTTTCATATTATTTTGCAAAGTTTCTGAACAGAAAAGATAGTATACTCTTCCCTCAAATCAAGTACTTTACAAGACAGACACATCAGCTGTGAACAGCACACGCAGTGACATCAGCATGGGAAAAAACAGGTATGCTGATTGTATGCCTCATTAAAACTGCTCATCTTTCATCTCTTCTTTAAGATACCCAAATTAAAGTTGTTTTTATTGCAGTTAAATACAAGCATGCATATAAATAGGGAAGAGGGAAAAGGCTTATATCCTTTTTTTCAGTTTTATTTTTCTTTTAAAAAGTTTTTTTGGCACTACATAGTTCTGTAAAGAATAGAAGTGACAAATTTTTAAACACATGAAATCCCCTTCTAATTTTATTTTTTTAGAACAATATATATAAAGTCTGAAGCAACCAAAGTATGAATACAGCTAATAGAAAATAAAGAACTTAATTTTAAAAATTCTCTCTCTTTACAGTTTTATCAAGATAAACCAAAACACAATTCCCCTTAAAAATAGGGTAATAAAATAGATGAAATTTGTATCACTCAGTTTTGTGATACTAGTAAAAACTATAGTTCATATCTATGTACAAATGATACAGTTTAAAAACAGTCTTAAATAATCTTGTATCTAAACATGTTGCATTAAGATTTTAAATCAGAACCTGAATTTTTTTCCTCCCCCCCCCCTTCCCATTAAATTTCACTTTTTCTGTTGAATGTAATTCAGATTCAAGTGTGGGTGTCCTTGAGACAGAAGCGAGAACCGCTGGTTACTCTGCATCAGTGGACCAGCTAAAAGAAAATGGATTACAATTACTTCAGCAAATTAAATATACTTAACAGTGCTTGGCTATATTCAATGTATTCATCTTTCTTAGAAATAAAGCCATTTACTAGATGGACACAAATGCTAGCTGTACGACTAACCCATTTAATGGGGCAATGCAGTATTACTTTTATCCTATCTCCAGAATTCCCTCAGAATCATCACAAAGCATCATTTTGTTGCATTACTTTTTGTTAAATAACTGAAGAACTTCAGGGTTTTTAAGTATGGGTCTCACTTGGAAACCTCGCTACAGCCAATAGATAAAAGATTTTGGGGAAAGAAAGAAAAAAAAAAGTGTCTCTCATTTTGTACTAGGTGACCCAGCAACACAGTAATTACAAAACCTCCAAATAAAATTTGGGCATAGTTTCTCTCTTGGTGGAGCCAAAGGTCTCTTCCCTACAGCCTTTCCCAATCCTGCCAGATGCTGAACACCTTTACCATTCACTAGCATAAGAAAGAGTTGCGATTAAGTCAGTCCTTCAAGGTATCCTACATAACAGCCTGATCTAACTTTGAAGTTAGCGGTTGGACTAGATCACCTCCAGAGGTCCCTTCCAACCTGAATTATTCTATGGTTTTGCAAGTTTTTCTGCATGTAAAGTCATTCCACAAGGCAAGGTACAAAAGCCAAATAAAATGCATTAGGACAAAAATGCCTTCAAATTCTTAACGTGCTCATGGGCAAATCATCTTAACCTCTATGGAAGCAGAGGTCACTCTACCATGAGACAGCATCAGTGAAAAAGAAAGAGGTTACAAGCACAACAGACTGCAAATTGGCTCAGATTTCAGAATTTGATTTAACCCCTTCCCTCCCACAAAGATTTTCATCCATCCATACAGGAAGCCGAAGTGTTGATTTGACTCTTGGATTCATTATGGTTCCAGGGAGCCTAGCATGTGAAACGTGATTCCTTGGCTTTTAAAGCCTTTGAGACAGTAAAGAGACATGTTGCATGAGCTGTTGATTCATATACTAGTTCTAGTACCTTGAGGGTAGAAAGGTTTGTTCGGTGGATAGCTGGCATTTCCCTGCTGCATGTAGTTCTGAGGCATATTGTAAGGCCACGCTCCTCGGAGGAGAGGAAAATGGGTAGGGGTCCCATGGTCCCAAGGGACAGAAGGAGGGTTCATTTTACCAAACTGTCCTTGGAAACCCTGATCTATTTTTCAATTGAAAGGGAAAAGCACATTGCAAGTTGAAATAATTAAACAGTAAGTCACAAATACAGTTTACATCTTAAATAACAGTTTGCAGGGGACTTAATGCGATTAGTCTGATGTGCTACTCATTTTTTTTTAAAATATAAATCAATAAAAATTACCACCTAAATTACTTCATTATTCACTATAATAAAATTTAATGGGGAGGAAGACAGGATGAATCAGTATTAAAATCAAGACCTACAATTTCACTAGCCCTATGTCATTCTCATGATGAAAAATACAAGGTCTGAACAACGTTACTAATACCTGATCCCACACAGATATTCACTACCACTGACACAGCTGTGACGTGAAAGCTATTACTCTACTGCAAGAAATAATTCTCAGATGTACACTGGAATTCCACTAATACTTGTATGCTTAAGAAACTTATTATCTAGATCATCAGACCAACTTAAAATTGATTTTTAGAGAGAAAAATAAAAACTTTTGAAATAAATACACAAATTGTAAGCTATTCCATTTACAAATCCAGTATCACTGCAGCATTAAGGGTGAGAAATCAAGCATCCAAGGAGGCAGGGGACACAACAGTTGATGCCAAACACTGTATTACTAATTCTGCTCTTTTTGTTCATAGCTCCCAATTTTGTAAGACACAGCAATGCCTGCTAATTTAAAAACCTGATCAATGTAAATTTAAAAATAAATAAATTTCAGTAACTATCCTTAGTATATCACTTCCCCTTTGGGCTCATCATAAAAAAAAAACACTTGCAGACAGCCTTTCATTAAATAAAAGCAAGCTACACATTTAAAAAGAATAGTAACTTTTATACAATAAAACATGAAGCATGGCTCTGGAGCAAGCATGAAAAAAAGCTGTCTGCCTGAAGCTTCTAATGATCCTACTTCTGATCAATCGTCTACTGAAAAGAAAGTAAAGTCGCTCCTTCCAACTCAAGGTTATGTGACCCAAACCAAAAGTTTCCACAAAATTACCATTCCTAAATAGTCCAGAACAAGAAAGCAAGCCAGCTTCAGAGCACAGACAGCTCATCTCTGTTGTGCACCCACCCAGTGACCCCTCCTTAATGGCATCTAAGCCAAAAAGGAAACAAAACTGACCAAAATACAAAGAGGAAAAATACCAGGACTGGGAACTAGGAAAAGGAGTCTGATGAGATGGGAAATAGATGGAAGTTGAACAAAGGGGGGAAAAAATACTGTGACTGACAGCACAAGAAAACTGGGTAACCTTCTGTGCAGGCACAGTAAGAGAGGAAGCACACAGGGATAGAGCGAAAGGAAAAATACTGCAGACGGGGACTGACTGACTACATGATGAGAAACAGGACTTGTTAAGGGAGAATGGAGCAGAAACTAGGATTTGGGGAGCTTGTCTGAAAGAAGGCAGCTACCTGGGCAAGAAGACTTGGATTGGAAGGAACTGCTTGAGGAAAAGTCAGAGCTGGGGTGGACATGGAAGAGGGGACAGACGAGCCTGGACAGAGAATTAAGATCAGAAATGGAGATGTAGGGACAAAGCACACTGAAGGCACAGAAAGAAGACCGGTAGCAGTTTCTGTATCCTCTAAAATATATTCCCCACAAAGCTCTGCACAGAAAAACAGGCATCTCCAGCATCTCAACAAGTATCTGAAACTCACTGGTGGATTTTCCTCATCCAAAACTGTTGACTCAACTGAAAATCTACTGTTGCTGTCAGTCACCTTATTAGTGCAGAAGATTCAAAATTTCCATCTCATGATGAACAACTGCATCAGCATATTGTGTGTTGGATATATTCTTTTAAACATAGGAGGAATTACACACTCAGAATACACCAAAAGACCATTATCATGATTTCAAAGATCACAGTTAAAATTTAGGGACTGTCAGGTTTTATGTTTCACAGAAAACTGTATGGGCGTTAATTACTATATACTGTTTTTCTCAGCCTCAAACATACAAATGTACTCGGCTTTGGAATGAGACAAAAGGCTGCTGCCCACTTATCACAGGGAAAATCTGTACGAAGTATTTTCAGGAAATGACATTGAGATTAAGGAAGTTAAATGTAGCAGGGTAAACTATA